TCCTCTGCAAAAGTAAATTACTTCAATACCCTCATAACCACACTCTCCCGCGAACCCAAATGACTATTTCACACATTTAACTCTCTTCTTTGCCCTATTGTTCCTCCTCCACCTACTAACTTGACCGCCTCAGACTTTGCAACTCACTTCACTGACAAGATCTCTACAATTAGGGAAGAGATCACTCATCTTTCTTCTTCCCCTTACAATAGTTCCCCTAACCTCACTCCTTCTGCTGTTCTACGTTCATTCGCACCCGCTACAGCGGAAGAGGTTTCTGCTCTGCTCCAGTTCTCCCACCCCACCACCTGCTCCCTAGATCCAATTCCCTTGCATCTCATCCATACTCTGTCTTCTTCTCTTTCTCTACCTCTCACTAAAATTCTCAATCTCTCTCTCTCTCTCTCCTCTGGCATATTTCCATCGCCCTTCAAACATGCAACTATAACCGCAATTCTAGAAGCTCAACCTTGACCCTAACTCCCCATCCAACTACCGTCCTATCTCGTTACTGCCTTTTGCATTCAAGATCCTTGAAAGAGTTGTGTATGTGAGATTGACAGACTTCCTTGAGTCCAACTCTCTGCTAGATCCGATTCAGTCAGGATTGCGCGCTCATCACTCTGTTGAAACAGCTATGACCAAAGTATCCAATGATCTACTCGCTGCAAAATCTTGTGCTCACTACTCTATCCTAATTCTCCTTGACCTTTCTGCGGCTTTTGACACTGTTGATCATCAATAGCTTCTTCTCATCCTCCGCAATTTCGGTCTACAAGATACTGCTCTCTCCTGGTGCTCCTCCTACCTTTCCCAGCGCTCTTTCAGTGTTTCTTTCTCTGGCTCTGCTTCTTCTGCCCAACTCCTCTCTGCTGGTGTCCCCTGTTGGTTCAGTCCTTGGTTCCCTACTGTTCTCCATCTATACTGCCTCCCTTGGTAAACTCATTAGCTCCTTTGGCTTCCAATATCATTTCTATGTGGATGAAACACAAATCTATCTGTCCTCTCCTGATCTCTCCCCTTCCCTCTTGACTAGTGTCTCTGACTGCCTCTCTGCTATTTCTAACTGGATGGCTGCCCACTTCCTTAACCTGAAATTCTGGTCTTTCCTCCCTTAAGTGTTGCTACTCCTGGTCTGTCTCCCTCCAAGTCAACGGTGCTACCATCAGCTCCACCATGCAGGCTCACTGCCTAGGTGTTATCTTTGACTTCTACCTCTCCTTCACGCCTCATGTTCCGTCTATAGCCAAATCTTGCCGCTTCCATCTCAAAAACATTGCACTCATTTGACCCTACTTAACACCAGATACGACTAAGGTGCTGGTCCATTCCACTGTCCTTTCTCGCCTTGACTACTGTAATCCGCTTCTCAGTGGTCTTACGTGCTCCCAACTTGCTCTGTTACAGTCCATAATGAATGCGACAGCGAGGCTCATTTTCCTGTCCGCCCGCACCTCCCATGCCTCACCCTTCTGTCAGTCCCTACATTGGCTTCCTGTAAGATATAGGGCTCAATTTAAAATTCTGGTTCTTACTTTCAAATCTCTACATAATGCTGCTCCCACCTATCTATCCTCCCTAATACACAAGTATGTCCCGTCTAGGCCCTTACGCTCTGCTGAAGACTTAAGTCTATCTTCTGTGCGTACCTCCACCTCTCCTGTGGAACTCAATTCCCTCCTCCGTTAGATGCTCACCCAGTCTCCACTCCTTCAAGAAATCATTTAAAACCCACTTCTTCATAAAAGTGTATCAATTAAACTGTTAATAGCTCCCGACTGATACCTCTCTTACAATTGTCATTAGTCTAATACTATCCTTACCTTTTGTGTCACTTTACCCCTCTCACTCTAGCATGTAAGCTCATTGACCAGGGTCCGCAACCCCTCTGTTCCTGTGTGTCCAACTTGTCTGTTTACAACAACATGTTTGTTCATCCACACACTGTAAAGCACTGCGGAATTTTTTGGCGCTATATAAATAGCATAATAATAATAATAACAAGGACAACTGAATATCTTCTACTTTCCTGCTTATTATGCGTTTGTTTCCACAATTGATGCACGCACTGCATCCTGTGTACATACACAGAAACACACCTTGCAGCCCTTACACATACAAACACAGATTCACACAATGCATTCCTTACACACATATCAGGACATCCCCTTCACACTCCACCCCCTGTGAATAAACTCATTGGTGGAACATAAAGGTGGACCCTGGTACCCAGACCTTGAGCTGTGTAAAGGGCCCCAAAAAAATGGAGCTGCTTCCCGTTCTCCCAGAACATTGATTTTTATGACCACAGTTACAAACCGCCTCCAGAGAGCCTGTTCTACACCAGACCAGTGGAGACAGACTGCAGCTAGAGCCCATCATCATCCTCATCTGGTTGTAAGTAGGCAATCTAGTATATTATTCATGGCACTAATCTCTTATTTACCTCACATTAAAGAAACACTATAGTCCCCAGAACCACTGCAGCTTAATGTAGTGGTTCTGGTGTCTATAGCCTGTCCCTGCAGGCCTTTTAATGTAAACACAGCGGCACTGCAGCGCTGGCGTTAGTTAACATGGCAGATCATATGGGTGGGGCATTGTGATGTCACATGGGGGGGGCGGCAATCTTTACTTTTGCCTAGGGCGGCAAAAATCCTTGCACCGGCCCTGCCTGTCTATTGCCTATCTCCTACTTATATTGCACAGTCTCTAATAATTCTGATTATACTGCTCGAAATAATTAGTACTATTTACAATATTTTGAACTTTGCATGTAGGTCCTGACGTGGTTGGCCTACATTGCCTACTTATCGTTTAGTAGTTGCCACAATTTCTATGGTTCATACTGATCTGAATGATGTGATTCTTCATGACTTTGCCTAGAGCATGGGTCATCAACCTGGTCCCTACAGCCCACAAGTGGGTGTTTCAGGATTCCAGGTGGGCGGTAGGGATTTCCTTGTTTTGAGAGACTGGACTCGATCACCATTTGCAGCCCCGGCCCGCGCGGCAAACCGCTGGGGCCGCCGTCCGGGGGTCCATCAGGTGGCCCATGCTGTCAGGGCCACCCGATGGATGTGGATTGTAAGGGGGTCCGGTCAGCGCTGGGCGCTTTAACAGTGCGACTGGGCCCCCTGTGATTACATCACAGAGCTGGGAGGAAGTGACTGCACATCACTCCTCCCAGCTAACACACAGACCGAGCGGGAGGAAGCAGAGGGAGTCAGAGTGGGAACTCTGACTCCCATCCACCTGAGCCACCACTGGACCACTGGGAATGTCACCCTCCTGCACCTAAAAGGTAGGAAACAGGTGCGTGACTAAAATATTTTGTGTTTGTTTGTGTGTATGTGTCTTTGTATGTATGTCTTGTGTGTGTGTGTGTGTGTCTTTTGTGTGTCTGTATGTGTGTGTATGTATCTTTGTATGTATGTATGTATGTATGTATGTCTTGTGTGTGTGTGTCTGTCTATATGTGTGTATGTATGTGTGTCTTGTCTTTGAATGTATGTGTTGTGTGTGTATGTCTTTGTATGTGTGTCTTGTGTCTGTCTGTATGTGTGCATGTGTCTATGGATGTCTTATGTGTGTGTCTTTGTATGTGTGTGTGTCTGTATGTATGTGTGCCTGTCTATATGTATGTGTCTTGTGTGTGTCTGTATGTATGTGTCTTGTGTGTCTGTCTGTGTGTCTGTATGTATGTATGTATGTATGTGTGCCTGTCTGTGTCTCTGTATGTGTCTTTGTATGTGTGTCTTGTGTGTGTGTGTGTGTGTGTGTGTCTGTATGTGTGCCAGTCTGTGTGTGTGTCTGTATGTATGTGTGTCTGTCTGTTTGTATGTATGTATGTGTCTTTGTATGTGTGTCTGTATGTATGTATGTGTGCCTGTCTGTTGTAGAGGGCTATAGTAAGTGGGCTACCTAGCTCAGCCTTCCTACTGGGCATTGCTATAAGAAAGGTTAAAAAATAGAAAAAAGGGAAGACAAAGGTGGGGAGGGGAATTGAGGAGGGAGAGGAGATGAGCTGACGCACAGATGAGAAATCATATTATGCGCAAACAGAGAAGTCGTCTGAATATCACCGAAAGAGGAGACCTTTGTTTGTTCCTTACGGAAATCGAACCAGATATCAAATATTTAGTCTCGCAGCATCAACCTCAAAGATCTCATTAATCACTAGTAAAGGTAATTTCAATTTACTTTATTGTTTTCTCATTAAACTTTATAAAGTTAAAAACATTATAAACATGCATTAAGTAGAAATAAAAAGATAAATGTACGTACATTTATTTTTTTTAAAAACACCCTCCTTTCTAAAAAACTATTACGCACTTGCCTGAAAACTGGTGGACGGTAAGGATTTTTCCATCAAGAAAGATGCAGTGGGCGGTAGGTAGAAAAGGGTTGACTA